ATGTTAGTGTTCTGTGGAACTAAGTATATTTTTAGAGCAATAGGATTTGGAAGCATTTTTTTTTATTTTTTTAAATAAAAGGAGAGGTTACACCTGGTTTCGTGGTTCACACCTGTAATCCCAGTACTTTGGGAGGCTGAAGCAGGAAGATTGGTTGAGCCCAGGAGTTCAAGACCAGCTTGGGCAACATAAAGAGACCCTGTCTCTACAGAAAAAAAAAAATTTTTTAATTAGCTGGCCTTAGTAGTGTGTACCAATAGTTCCAGCTATGGGAGGCTGAGGCAGGAGGATTGCTTGAGCCCAAGAGGTCAAAAATACAATGAGCTATGATTGCACCACCGCACTATAGCCTGGGTCACAGAACATGACCCTGTCTCAAGTAGATAGATGGATAGATGGGATAGATCGGTAAGATCAGTGCGATAACTTGATAGATGGATGACAGGAGAAGAAAACAAAGTTTTGTGTAAAACATTGAATGTTTAAAATCCTCTAATGTCAGTATACTAAATAGGGAATTATTACTTGAATGATAACTTTAGTAATGGATAGATTTTTATAGATATTTAAAAGTGAATATTGGTAGCAGGTGACAATGTTATTAACATACAAATAATTTAGTCATTCTTTGACTAAATGTTCTGAGATAATTTGTATGTATTAACTTCAAAGGAAATTTCTCCAAGTAATTGTGGAAAGATGTAAGTAAATCCAATGTAGGAGGTGTGACTATATAGGAAGCTCAGAAACTGTTAGGGATAAATATAGAGTTGATTTTAGGCATAGAAAGTTAATTGCACTGGTGTGGAATAGGGTGACTTGACCTGACAATAGTTGCCAGCTGAAGAATTTATCTGGAATTCATCACATAAAGAGAAGTTGTGGAAAGTATTGACGAGGTTTAAAAATATGAGGGAAATACTTAGAAAATTCATTATGCATCTAATTAGAAACCCAGAAGAAGAAGAAAAAAGAATATTGGAGATGCAACATTTTAAGAAATAGTGGCTGTGAATTCCCCATAATTGATGAACCATAAATCTACAGATACAAAAAGCGCAATATGTCACTGATAGAATATTATAGTGAAACTGCAAAACATCAGAGACACAGAGAAAATACTAGAAACCTCTAGATTTAGAAAGACAAATCCCCTTGCAAAGAAGCAACAGCATGACATCAGTGACAAACAATGAAAGCTAAAAGAAGTGAAATAATATTTTCAAAGTACTGAGATAAATCTGTCAACCCAAAGTATGTACCAAAGTCTAGCTTTCAAGAATAGGAATAAAATAATGACCTTTTCAAACAAAATTGAGAGTGTTTACTACTAACAGATCTACAGAAGAGAATGCTTAAAAGATATTAGGTTGGAAAATCTGTCTTGTTACAGCCTTTGAAGTTATCAAAAGTGTGGCATTGTATCATGAGGAAGTGAAATGTAGTATGAAGTGTCATGCAAATTGCTTTGGATTCCCCAGAACCCATTCCATCACTTTTTCATTTTATATCAACATTGTGATTTGGGGAATTGATCCCACTTTCATGGCTGGGCCTTGATTAGTCAAATTCAGTTATAATCCATTTTCCTTGCCAATTCAGTTGATTCAGAAACCAGGCCTAGGCCATTTATCCCATGGCTATTATCTTGATAACAAGTTATTCATTCCATGTGTCTAAAGTTGGCCTAGTCACTCTGAAGGAAAGAATTCTCGTTTATGCTTGGGGGAAAGATACATTGAGGAGACTCGAATTACTTCTTAGTATGGTAAGAAATAAGCCTTAATATGAAGTCAACATTAGTAATAGCAGAGCTGTGAGAAATAACAACAAAAGAGTTAGTATTTGGTCTTTAATGATGTCACCGTTACTAAGTTACGCCTGAAGTTTACCCTATTTATAGACTTCATGTTATGTGAAATAATAGTTTAAATTTGTATCGTTTAGGAGATTATAGTTTCTTGGTTGAAGCTCCATTCTTTTCAAAAACAAATTAGTCTTTACTAATACAAGTATAATTTCAATTCTAAGTCAGGAAAGTTGGAAGTTATATGCCTTATGCTGCTCTGACAAGACTAGATTAATTTGGGGTATCATGTTTCATTGAAGCACATTGGCAGATGAGTATGCCAGAGAAGATGACAGAATGATGAGGAAAGGGCTAGCAGATAAAAGAAGTATTAGATTTATTTCACATGATTCCAGAGGTCAGAACTAGTCCCAATCAGTAGAAATTCTGGAGAGGTTAAGACAGATGCAATCAGCATAAGAAAGAATTTTCTACTAATTAGAACTGTCTGGAAATGGGATGAAAGGGTGCAACAGTGGAGAGCTAAAATTTTGCCCCCGAGAGTCTTCTAATAGAGGGTTTCCATAGCTATACAAATATTTAGGAAAATTGTTCTGCATGGGTTAAGAAGTTGGATTATATAACTTACACAGGCTCCTAACCATTTTGAAACTAGTTACTAATCCATTCTAGTTACTAATAATGGATCTCAACTCTCTTAGCCTTGACACTTCCTTTTTACTTCATACTCTTTGTAATGCCTGCTTACTATCTAAAATTCGTGATGAACGTAATCTCTCCACACATATAATATTCAGGAAATGTGCATTTAAGAGTGGAAATGAAATTAATATAAACATCTAAAATCATGTATTGCATTTCTGAAATTGAAGAAACTTAAAACCAAACATTTTTCCTAAGGTAGGCACAGACATTTGGAAGCAAAACCTGATCATAATTGAAATAGCTTTAATTACGGTTTTTATACAAGTGGCGAATTTCTGTTTTTCTGCAAAAATGTTAGTATGTGTAGTCACAGGCTACTGTTCCAGACTCTGCTGGCAGTACTACTTAACATGCTTTGAAATGCAAAAAAAAAAAAAAGACAAAACAAAACAAAAATCTAAACTCTTAAAATATCTGATCCCAAGGGTTTTGGCTAACATACTGTGGTTCTTCAAGTATTTCAACACTTAGAAGTTCCAGGATGACTAATTCAAAACATATAGTAATCAATGGGTTATACTTTTAATTAATATGTTTGAATTTAAGAGAAGATGAGAAGCCGTTCTGTTCAAGAATTAGAGCAATGTGGAATAGTAGACTGTGCTACAATACACGGGACAAGTTATACCATACCATATTTATTTGAATATGATAAGAGAAAAGGGGAAATAACTTTATTTGATAAATTGAATAATATACCTAAACAAGTTACATTGTTGAAGTGGAGAAAATGAGAAAATAGTTTTTAAATGAACTAGACCTTCTTAATAAATGTTACCAAAATAATTTCCTATATTACGATTTGAGGTAAGAACTTGAAATTCCATCACCTGTTTAAGCCTGCATTTAGTCTCTAGTACCTAATAATAGAAGTTATATATGATCTCTGGGAGTAACATCAGAGTCATATTGAAAAATACATTGACAGTTCACAAAGTATAATTTTAATATTTAGGATAAATATGAAATATTTACATACATCATTATTGAAATTTATTGATACAACATTTCTGGCTCAAATCTGATAAAATAATGTGACAGATTTATAGATACTTTGCAGCACCAGCACTACTGCTTTGACACCCTTTTTAACTGGATTTGCAGTTGGATTTTACATATGTTTAAGTGGACAGAAAGCAGAGTATGTTATTTAATAATTTGGAGACAACCTCCTATTAAATATTTTTGGTATAGTTATTTACTAATATATATCTGTAGTGGGTTTAATCCATAGAACATTCAAACGTTGTATGGGATGCAGGATAGTTCTTCATTGATGTTTCACGGAATCTGTTTTTAAGACTAAAAATAAATTATATTTCTTTTTGTCTTCTGTACAAGTAGAGGGCCATTTCTATTTTCTTGACTCTACTATTTTTGTCATGGCAGGTTTTACTCTCATATAACTTGTAAATTATTGTTGTCAGCCTTTGTTGTCTTACCAGAAATTAAATATGAATTTTGCCAGTAATATTTATAATATGACTTCATGCCTAATATGTAGAATTTAAGGGCAATTACATACTGGAGTTCTTTAAGAAGAAAACTACAAAGAGAAATTAATTTGTGTTTTAAGCAGCCAAATTTTATGACTGGTAATGCTCAGAAAAAAATTTAAACACTTCATATCCTTGTGTGTAAGTATCTTTCATAGTATTTACAATGTTAGTAAAAGTGAGACTTTTACTGCGATGGAAGATAACAATTATATAACACTGGTTACTTTATTTTCTCACCACCTAGTAAAATATGATTTGAAGTTCTTATGTAATAGGACATTTAATTGACTTTTATAGTCTGAATTAATTTTGTCCTTTTTTGTGTGTGAGCTGCTTTTATACCTGGAATAAAATGTAAAACCTGTTTTTTAGCTGCAGTAGTGAGGACTAATTTGCTGACTATTTTAGGTACCATTTGGTTTCATTAAAATGGGTAAAATATCTTTTTGTAAACCTTTATAGTACTATTAAATGAGTTTGGATTTATCCTTAGGTGCCTGGGAAGATGGCTATTATGACATATGAATATATGACAATCCCTAGATCAGTTATTTTTAGAAGTCTGCGGTGAATGGTTTAGTCCTTTTTTGTCTTTTTAAAATATAGTCACTTACAAATCCTTCCATTGTATTTTAATCATTTTAAACTGTCTTTTCCCCAGTGATTTTCACATGGAAACTTAGTATGTAGCTGAATGTCACAAACTTGTTAAAGTATTAGATTTGCACTGTATATTTTTACATCTTAGCTACTCTTTAATATTTAAAGTTTTTGTTCTTTAGTAAAATAGATATAGTATAGTCTTTTCGTTGTGGTGCTAAACTAGAACTTGTCACTTTCTCTACTTAGTGGATAAATGACTATTTATAAAACTGATTCTTTGATGAAACAAGATGAATGAAATTAAAATGTTCTGTATTACAATAAACTACCTCATATAATTTTTTACAATATAGTAATCTGAATGTATGTATGTACTTTTTTAGAAAGAATCTTCAAGAGGGAGACATAGGGAAAAGGAAGACATAAAAATCACAAAGGAGAGAACTCCAGAAAGTGAAGAAGAAAATGTAGAATGGGAAACTAATAGAGATGGTGAGTTTCAGAATCTTGGTTTAACTAGCAAATTCTTGATTATTTACTTTGTAGAGTTTTTGTGAACTTCAAAACAACTTTCAGCTATGATCTCTGTTTTGTTTCAGAAACATTTTATTGACATGTTTCTATCTTACTCTGTTATAAGGCAAAAACTGGCATATAGTAGCAGTACAAAAGCAGGGAAAGTGGTTTGCATTGTGTATTTTAATTTGCCCATTCTAGTTTTCCCTCTAGAACTTCATTGTGTAGCGTTACAGTCCTTCAGGATTGTATTACATATGTAAATTTAAAAATTCCTAACATTAAGCTTAAAATGAAATCTAAATTTGTTTGTTTTACATAAAATATTATAAAATAGATTTTTATATCATAAGGGCCAGGGAAGGTTATTTCCAAGAAATGTTTGACTTTAAAATCAGATGAAGTTGGAGACCTGGATTTATTAAAGAAAAATTAGCAAAAAAAAAAAATCTTTTTCTTGAGACACAGTCTCTCTGTGTCATCCAGGCTGGAGGACAGTGGTACAGTCATGGCTCACTGCATCCTAGCCTCTTGGACTCAAGCAATCCTCCTGTCTGTAATCTCAGCACTTGGGGAGGCCAAGGCTGGAGTATCACTTTAGCCCAGGAGTTTGAGAATAGCCTGGGCAACAAAGAAAGACCCCATCTCTACAAAAAAAAACAAAAAAATTAGCTGGACATGGTGGTGCATGCCTGTGATCCCAGCTACTTGAGAAGCTGAGGTGGGAGCAAAATCATTTTTGAGTCATTGTTTTAACAAATAAGCATTTATTTTCCACACTGTGAATGTTTTCTCCACCTCTTTGATGTTCTGAAAGATGGGCACCATCACGTCATACTTCCAAACACAGTGAGTTCGTTAAATGCATTGAGTGGGGGTAGACAATGTAAAGTAATTTATATTATTTTGTAATTATTTCAATAGTTTTGTTACTCTACAGATGACAAAACTAAAGAGTTTAAGAATTTAAGCAACTTTCTGAGTGAGAAGCTGAAAACTTTAGACCCTGGATTAGAAAACTAGAGTATGTAGACCAGTCACTGGTTTTTTCAAATAAAGCTTTATTCTAACACAGTCCATCCATTCGATTACATATTGTCTGTGGCTGCTTTTGAGTGACAGTGGCCAAGTCGAGGCCTTAGGACAGAGAACTGAGAAGCTACAAGACTGAAATATTCACTACTATATTTCAGAATTATCTCTGAAGACTTATAGACTAACACTTGCAAAGTATTGTAAATACATCTTTCCAGTAATTGTTACATCAGTACTTAAAGGAAACCTGTTTCATCATTGGACAGTGCTATCTTGTTAAAAAGTTGCTCCTGAGAACAAATAGGAAACTTGTTTGTGGTTACTCAGGATTTCATAATCCAACTTAATACAACTTCTACAAAATAGCAATAAAGGCAGCTGTACTGTCCTGTTTTAGTTGACTAATTAGTATATTTAAATAAAAATAAACATACTTAAATATAGGCATATAAACTATATGCCTAAACTTTTTTGCTTTTCTTTTATTCTGTGTAAGAGGCTCTTTCCTGCTGTACAAGGTTAATAAGTAATTCCTTTGTATTGTAGATCTGATATATAAATTGTTCCAGTTTGAAGAGCTAACTTTTCCTAAATACTAAGGAATTACCTCTTATCCAGCATCCTTTCTTTTCATTTTAATTTTTTTTGCATAAAAAACATTTTAAAGTGTATTTGATACTTCTTATCTTTAAATTTTTTTCTATTGTCATTACAATAATATTTGATAATCGTTGAAAATATTAAAGGTTCAGAAAAGCCTAAGTCTGTTCTTTTTCTTCGTAGTAGGTGTGCTAAACCTTCTCCATAAATCTCCTATGTTTCCATTTCTCTTTATTTGCTATCTACTAAGCAGAGATGGTGGAAGTCTTTAGTAGCTCCCTCAACTTCTTCCTACCACACCTTCACACTAATCTTTTATTCATACCTAAACTTTTTTACTTCCCTCTTATTCTGTATAAGAGGCCTCCTTTCAGCCGTGTAAGGTTGATGAATAATTCCCTTCTGTTGTAGATCTTATTTCCTCCTACCTCAGCAATCTTGTTCATTTATTATACACTCTTTTCTATATCTTTAACATCCATTTTCTCTTCTCCCCATATTACTGTTAGTCATTGTTCTGCTTATCCCCACTTAACAACTAAATTCTTAAAACAGTTCTTTACCTTACTGTTTCTACTTGTTCACCTGATACTTATTATTCAGTCTTCCCATCCAGCTTTCCACTAAAACTGCTTTTCAAAGTCACTAATGACCTCCTCTTTGCTTAATAAATGGAGATGTACTTGTTTCTATCTTAAATGACCATTCTGCAGCATTTGACACATCAAGAGCTCCTGTCTTGTTGAAAAAAACTTCTCTTTTTGTTTCTATTTATCACTCTTCAGTCTTGTGTCTTCCTGTTCAAGCCCTTCAGTGTTTTGTTTTGTTTTTGAGACAGAGTCTCCCTCTGTCGCCTAGGCTGGAGTGCAATGGTGTGATCTCGGCTCACTGCAACTTCTGCTTCCTGGGTTCAAGTGATTCTCCTGCCTCAGCCTCTTGAGTAGCTGGGACTACATGTGCATGCCACCATGCGTGGCTAATTTTTTGTATTTTTAGTAGAGACAGGGTTTCACCGTGTTAGCCAGGATGGTCTTGAACTCCTGACCTTGTGATCCGTCCTCCTCAGCCTCCCAAAGTGCTGGGATTACAGGTGTGAGCCACTGCACCTGGCCAAGCCCTTCAGTCTTACATAGGAGGTTCCTTATATTCTGTCTGCCCCTTAAATGTTGATTCCCAAGGATTTGCATTTAACTATGTTCTTTTAAAAAATCTAAAGTGATTTTGTGTCCATAGTGTTTTTATATAGGAAATTCTTTTAAAAGGTGAGTGTAAATGTCTTTAATAGGAATTTCTTATGTTTTCCCTTGATTGAAACACATAGGTTTTGGCCATTGTGTATCTCTGTGATTTGAAAGTATCTGTTGAGGGAATATTGAAGTGTTAAGTTAGGTGCTCTAGTCCCTGGGTAGTGAGACTAAACTGCTTTCATAGACTTAACTTCTGCATTGTCATTCTAAAGCGAATAACAATCTTAGCTGGATTCAGAAAAAAATGGTATATAATAATGTGTCTCAAACTTTCTGGTTTCAGAATACTTTTCTATGCTTTTTTAGAACCCCAAATAACTTTTGTCTTTGTGGATTTTAGGTTTTCATAATTGCCATATTATGAACCTGAGAAAATTTAAAAATATGTATTTATTCATTCACTTAACAATGACATCTAAAAATCCAGTGTATGCTTTTGTGAAAAATAACTATTTTGCAAAGCAAATAATAATAATTGTGAGGAGGTGACAGTATTTTGCATCATTTTGCAAATTGTTTTGACATCTGGCTTAACAGTTGATAGCTAGATTTTCTTATCTGCTTCTGTATTCTGTCTGTTAACTACATCACATGTTCTGGAAAACTCCATTATCTACTCATGGGCGAATGAGTACACCAGACAAATAATGTAGTGTTATAGAAATAGTTTGATTTTGTAGAACTCCTGAAATTGTCTCAGTGACTTTCCAGGTATCCTCAGACCACTCTTTGAGAAGCACTTGTCTCTAGGAACAGCTTTTAAAACTTGTTTGTTTTCCTTTTGTCTAGCCATCTTCTTTTCTCACTTTTAATTTTTCCTTCTAGATGAAATCATGCTCCTGGGGCTTCATTAACATTGTATGTGTCAACGACTCCAAAATCTGGAGCTCTCAGTTTAGCATTGACCAATTAGGCATCTCTATCTGCGTTCTATATCTTAAGGGCATCACTTTTCCTACCAGATACCAGTAGTCCTGAGAGTCATCATTAACACTCCTTCTTTCCCTCCACACAGGCATTTACAGAGTTCTGATATTTTTATATACCAAATACCATTGAAAACCATCTGTTTCTCTGAATTTACTACTAATATTCTAGTTCTTAAGGTATTTGTTTTTTGCTTATAAATATATTTTACAAAAATAACCTCCTAACCCCATCTCTTGCTTATAGTCTTGTCTCCTAATTTGTTCTCCACTGTAAAGCAAGAATAATCTTTCTTAAAAAGTTTTTTTTTTTACTGAAATATATGTTCAGAGGAATGCACAATTCATGTGTACAACTCAGTGGATTTTCACAAACTGAACATGTTTGAAAACATCACCCAAATCAGTAAGTAGCAACTTAGCAGTTTCCTGTAGTCCCCTTGTGTTTCCTTCTAGTCACTCCTCACTACCCTCGCCTCCCAAAGGTAACTACTGTCCTGATTTCTAGCACCATTGATTAGTTTTGTCTGTTTGAGCTCCATATAAACAGAATCGACAGGATATACTCTTTTTGTGCCTAGCTTCTTTTGTTAACAGTATTATCTGAGATTCAGTCTTGTACTTTATTTCATATATCTTTCATTAATTCTTGTTGCTATATAGTGTTTTATTATATGAATATACCATAATTTATGTAGTCTACTGTTGATGAACATTTGAGTAATTTCCAGTTTGGTGGTGTTATGCATAATAAGGTACTGTTACTATTCTTAAACATATTTTTTAAACATGTACAAACATATACCCATTCCACTTGAGTTTATGGTTCAAAGTGGAATTGCTGGGCCATGGAGTATGTATGTGTTTCTCTTTAGTAGATAATTTCAAATAGAAAATGGTTGTACCAATTACCCATATGATATTTTTGCCTTTTTCATCCTAGCTATTCTAAAATTTTGTGGTGGTATCTTACTGTGGTTTTAGTTTGCATTTTCCTAATGAAGTTGAAAACTTTTTTACATGTTTACTGACCGTTGTACACCCTATTTTGTAAACTGTCTATTCTGAATGTTTGCCATTCTTCTATTGTGTTACCTGTTTCTTTCTTGTTACTTAAAGGAGTTCTTTGTGTTTTCTGGATATGAGATTTTTTATCAGATGTATAAATATATTCCAAGTATTTTCTCCCACTCTATGAGTTGCAGAGCAGTCTTTTAGAAGAATAAATTAAATGTTCATTTTATTTCCCTGTTTCAAATTCCCTAATTTCCCATTGTCTTCAGAGGCAAGTACAAATTTTAACTATGCCTATAAAACATTTGATTATCTGGTTGCTCTTTATATTTCCAGTCCCCACTCCAAAGTCTATGTGGTTTTATTTGATTCCTTAAACTTCTTGTATTTGTTCACTATATGTTCTTAAGGACCAACGAAGTAACGTAAAAAATCAAAAGTATCATTTTAGTAGAATGTGTGAAAATATTTTAGTAATCTTGGAGGTGAGTACATCTTCCTTAAATAGGGCATAAAACCCAGAAGCCACAAACATTTGATTACATAAAACTGGGAATTTCTGTGTAACTAAATGCGGAAGTTAAAGACAGATGATAGGCTAAAAGAAAATATTTGACATGTGTACACAACATCTGTAAGCATCAGTAAAGACACTATGTAGCCATATAATGAGTTTCTGCAAATACATAAGAAAAAGATGGTCTACTTAAAAAATGAGTAAAAATATATATGTATTGGATAGGTACCTCACAGGAGAAATAGAAATGGTCAATAAATGCTCAACTTGACTGCAGGGAAATACTGATGAAAATAAAGAGATAGGATTATTCTACCCATCAGTTTGGCAGAAATGAAGAATATTAATGTTTCCAAGTGGGAGTTTATGTTGTTAAAGCAGATTTGGAGTACAGTTTAGTGATATTAAAAATAGAAATTGTATTTATTTTCAGTCCAGCAATGTAGTCTGAGAAATAATGTCATAGAAAAATACTTGTACTTGAACCAAAGTAGATATGAAAATGTTCATTTAAGTCTTGTTTTTAACAGCAGAATATTGAAAACAGTCCATCTGTCAGAAGGAAACTCCTTTGACTAAGCTATGATTAAGTATGATCATATTAATGAAATGCTTTGCAGATGTTAAAAAAGATAGTTGAATTATATCTATGACTTGGAAAGATCTTGTTTATAAGGCAGTGTTGAATGTTAAAAGGAAAAATATAAAGCGCTATTTTCATACATATGACACTTAACTATTAGCAGTGTTATTACTGGAGTAAGCATGGCCGTAGGAGGAATATAAGGGGAATTTCATATTTTACTTTGTGTATTCAGAATTATTTAAGACTTAAGCAATGAGAATGTATGATAAAGACAGATAGCACAAAATATAGAATGGAATTCAAAAACAAGTGTCTGAAATGAGTTAATAAATTTAGAAAACATCTCATATAGCTTGAGGTTATCATTCCAATTGCCTTAGAAAAACTGATAAACATAAATGATTCTAACTCATTGGAAAAATGTTAAATATAATTAACGTGGTGTAACAAGGCAATTCACAAATATTTATAGTTTTTAATCCTTATACATAAACCTTTTATGTATCTGTGTTTTTTTTTAACATCAAATTACTAGAAGTTTCTTTCTTTCTTTTTTTTGAGATGAAATCTTTCTTGCTCTGTCACCCAGGTTGTAGTGCAGTGGTGCGATCTCAGCTCACTGCAACCTCCTCCTCAGTTCAAGAGATTCTCCTGCCTCAGTCTCCTGAGTAGCTGGGGCTACAAGTGCCTGCCACCACACCCGACTAATTTTTTGTATTTTTAGTAGAGACGGGATTTCACCGTGTTAGTCAGGTTGGTCTCGATCTCCTGACCTTGTGATCTGCCACACCTCAGCCTCCCAAAGTGCTGGGATTACAGGCATGAGCCACCACAACCAGCTTAGAAGTTTCTATATTAAAGGGTATTGATGTTGTTAAGGCTTTTAACCATATTGACAAATTATTTTACAAGATAGTTGTACTAGTTTACATTGTTATCACCAGAGAATGACTGTGTCCTTTATTTGTACCTTTACCAACAATTAATATTATAATTAGAAAAAATGGCTCCTGAATACATGGGAAAAAAATGTATATTCTGTCTTCATTTCTTTCTTTTTGTGAATTGTCTTGTAATATTCTTTGCATGTTCTGTTAATTAGTAAGAATATGTAGAAAGAATCTTAACCTTTTCTTTAAAATATCTTCCTTGTTAAATATTCCGTTCTAATTATACTTACTATTTTTCTGATGACTCAGAATCATTTATATGAATCAGTTTTTGTAAGGCAAAATTGTAGTGATAACCTGAAGCTACATGGGAGACATTTTCTAAATTTATTAACTGGCTTCAGACTCTTGTTTTTGAATTCCATCCTGTATTTTGTACTTGATGATTTTTCTTTTGTTGTCAAAATACCGTCAGTTGCAATGTGCCTATCTTGTAATCCATCTCTTACAGGTTAGGAAAACATCTGAGTTTTGATTATATGCATAAAATAAGTACCTTCAGAATAAAGACTTGAGAACTTTTTTCCTGAGCAAACTGTATTAGTTATATATACTACATTGACTTAGACATATATTTTAACTGCTCAGGCCTCTCGCCCTTGGTTGGATTGCTGAAGATTGAGGACTGAAAGCCCGTTTCTTCTTTCTTTTTTTTAAGAGGTGGGGTTTCTCCATGTTGGTCAGGCTGGTCTTGAACTCCTGACCTCAGGTGATCCACCCTTGGTCCCCCAAAGTGCTGGGATTACGGGTGTCACCCACAGCGCCTGACTGGTTTCTTCTTTCTTTTATGTATTCTGTATTGGTAATATTTCCAGTTACGAATTTTTAGATTGGCAGTGCATTACTGATAATACAGTACCTTCAGAAACACCATTAATCATTCTTCTCAGTTAATTACTCTTTCCTGTGTTTTACCTGGGTATTTGGATATAGAATTTTATTGAATTTAAGAGCATAATCAAACCAGATAATTGAGTCCTATTATTCACTGATGTAAAGTATCTCAGTAGAGTACAAAATAATAACTGGAGATAGCTTGTATTCACTAAATTAAATTCAGTGTCTTCATTTTATCTGGTGAAAGCCACATGCTCTTAATTAAATATTTAGTAGTTACTTTCTGACTGAAAATCATGATTTAGCCTATTTCATTTATTTACTGAAAAATCATCATCATACTCCATCATAGAATGAGTAATCAAGCTTAGTCACACAGGTAGTGAATATATATAGTTAGTCTCTCAGTCCCGAAGCATGAATGGATAGTTGTCATTTTAATGCATTCGCGCAATATATAACAGTGATGTTCATTTTCTTGGCTTTAAGCAGTCAAGTAGGACCTCTTATATTTATCGTTCTTTAGTTCTTCATTTTATTTCTTTACCCAAGTTTAAGAAATGATCTAAAGTGCTATAAGTATAGCTTGAGAAGGCACCTCAGTTTGTGATCAGTCAAGTCCTACATGATCAGTGAAATTCTCTCCTCTAGGCTTCTGGGCGTTCATGGCAAATGAGGGTGATGGTGTTGGGGGCCGGTGCCAGTAAGTTCTACATATTTTGATGAAATAGATCGCACACGACTCTTCCTTTTTGTTTTTTAAACCAACCTTTGTAACTTTTTATAAGAAAATATTAAATGGAAATAGAAATATGGCATCAAATCCATTGAGATGGACAGTTGTAATCTAAGGAAGTAGTTCAAATTGCTTGTAAAGAAAATGTTATGAATCCTTTAAAAATTAGCATATGTACACATTAGTATTAAAATTAGTTTTAGATATTAATCAGTTGTCTCACAAATTTTAAAAGTGACAAGCATATAGATTGAATGTTGCACACGTAATATAACCTCATTTTATATGATGTATTTTAGTAATGTATCTTTAGGAAAATCAAGGAGATAATGAGTTACATCATACGCAGCGTGAAATAATGAAGGCTTTAGTACCTTTAAGTCTGAGAAATTCAGCTGAGTGTCTTTTGTCTTTTAAAATTCCATCTCCTAACAAAAAACCCAATCCCCAGACAACTCAAAATCATTTCCAGAAAACCCAGAAACCTTAAAAATATTTGACTTTTCATAAAAAAATGAACCATTGTGACTAATCCTTTATAGAAATGGTATCTATTTCTTTTATCTCTTAAAAGTATGTCATTCTGATGTAAGACGCCAGCATTTAGATTTGTATAAGAAATTTGTTGAAAACGTCTCTATAATTTTTGGCACAGATAATTATGCTAGTTTCTAACAGCAATACAATTTTATTTTAAAGATTCTGACAATGGAGATATTAATTATGATTATGTTCATGAATTGTCATTGGAAATGAAACGTCAGAAGATACAGAGGGAATTAATGAAGCTGGAGCAAGAAAACATGGAGAAGAGAGAAGAAATTATCATTAAAAAGGAGGTATGCTATTTACTGCAATAAATATGTTAACAGCAACATTTGTATTGATCAGTAACTCAGCTTCTTGCTACATCTTAAATTATACTAGCATACTGATACATTGATCAACTCACTGTATATGTGCTACTCCATATATATTCATCATTTAATTGTCACAGTATTAGAAAAGTAGCAAAAATTTATGTTGAATAGGTGGACAAAGCTGAGAGTTTGTTGCCTAGAGTCACCAGCTAATGTAACATGGGGTTTGAATCTACATATGTCTGCTTCAGGCCCGTGCTATTTCTAGAATGCCTTGTTTCTTTTCCAAAAAGTGAAGACACAGTTAATTTAAATGTAATTTATGATTTTTCTGAGGAGATTTTGAAATTTTATGATTTTAATTTACTTTGTTGAAACTGGTATATGTTAGGACAGTTATATCACTTAAAATCATAGATTCAGGAGTCAGACTAATAAATATCAACAGATAGTGGCTATTCTAATTTATAATTTTTTTTTTTTTTTT